CCAGAAAAAGATTTAATATAAAAAAGAAATATAATGGAAAAGCTGAAAAGCAAGTTTAAGGTGGTTAGTGGTCACACTGGAAAACAATCATATGTACATACATGTTTTCTGTATGTTTATGTGCATTTGCAAGTGTGCCTGGAGGCCAGAGATCTATACTCACTCTGGGCATTATTTTTTGAAGCAGATCTCTTTGAATCTGGAACTGTCTGTTTTGGCTACACTGGCTGGTCAGAAAGCTCCAGTATGGCCTGGGATTTACAGGTGCACGACAAGCCTAATTTTGTTGGAGTGTTGGGGATCCCCCTTCAGACCCGTCTGCTGATGCAGCAAGCACTTTACTCATGGAGTGATCTCCATAGACCCTGAAAAAATATCTTAAAAGGTGAAATGCAAGGTAATGACACTATTTATTCAAACTATTGGTGCATCCAATAGACAATGAAGGTGAAATTAAGAAGATATGGGGGGCGGGGCTTGAGGTCCGGAGTGTATTTCTCTCCTCTAGCTGGCCTCTGTAGAACAGCCACATCCTCAAGTTCCCTAGGAAAGTGGCAGCCATGGAGGATCTTAGACCAGAGAGTGAATTACAGATGACAGTATGGCAGTCAAAAGCAGCAGGGAGACAGGAACTGGGGCAGGGCAAGTGGAGTGACAGACACCTCCGCACTTCCTTACCCACCAATCAGAATTTTGCAGAAGGCCCATCCTAAGGGTCGTGAGCTCTGGAGTTAGATGCTCACTTGATTTTGAAGATTATTAACAACCCTGGATTGCTGCAGCTGCTGAGCGCGGCTAGCACTTCAAGCACATGGGTTATGATGGCAGTTAAATTAAATACTCTGTGTAAATACAATAAACGCTCAATGAATGCTTGACATTTGTCACCCAAATAGCCTTTTCTAGTTATTTTACCAATTAGTTTAAGATGAACTGTGAGGACAACCAGGTACTGTGAATCTTTTTGTAATTCCAGAAGAAAAGTGGCCAGGTTCTTTTTTTTTCCTCTCTTTGTGCTGAACTCTGGCTTCCATCTCAAGATCACCTAGCCCTCAGCCTCTCACAAGCTCTGTGCAGGGTCTTTTCCAAAGAGTGGCTCCAGCCAGCTCGTTTCATCTATGATCAAAACAAAACAAAATTAATTATTAATTAATTATTAGCTGCTTGTTCTGTTTGAGATAGGGTCTCAATTGCAAGGAGGAGCAGACTGTGTGCTGTGAGGTGTGGACCACTAGAGGCTACCTATTTTGCTGTCTTTAGCGATGACTCTTACAGTGAACCTTGTTATGTTTGTAGGTAAACTGGTGCAAGAAATCTCTTCTTTTTCCTCCCCTTCTCTATCGCCCTTATTCCTTATCCTCCATCCTTCCCTTTCCCCCTGACTGCCTTTATTTCATGTTAGCATAAAGAAGAGACTAAGGTGAAACTCACGGTGGGGGTGGGTTGGATGGCAAGCTGGCTTTGCTGTTGTTGTGAGTTGATCTTCCCATGGGGAACCCTGTTCATTCAGAACACCTTCACTGGGACAAATGCAGGGAAAAGATGCTTCTTGAGGAAACGGAGGATTTGCTTTTGAAGTCGTTTGCCTTCAGAAATACAGTTCTCAATCAACCAAGAGAGAATGACGGGGAAATAAGCGTATGTCAATGTGCATGGTACCAAGTGCGTCTTTCACAGGAATTAGATTGAGAATAAAAGTGATAGCGAGCTTTTTTAAGATGCTTAAGTACGCTGGTGAATAGATGTAGGATGCACTTCCGCATCTGTGGGCTAAGCTCTGAAAGGCTGAACCACACAGAGCAAAGAAATGGACCAAACCATCAATTTAGTAGGTCATTTTGAACGTAGGCAGCAAAATGGCTGCGTGTGTGAAAAGCCACTACTATATTTTGAGAGAGCCTTTCTAAGAATCCTGAAATATTAATAACATGGTCTTAATGCAGTTAAGGGTGGCAAGGGCTGCCGAGAATAGTACAATGACAATTCTGTAATTTTTTTTTTTTTTTGGCTTGTGCTTGTAAAAGCAAGAAGTTAAGAGTGAAAATAGTCAGTGCGTTGAAAAGTGGCTTTCAGTTTTCTAAACTGGTGTAGAACTTTGTATTTCTCAAATAAATTCACATATGTTTATCCTTAGTAACGTGTTAATGTGAGCTTTGACGAGAAGAGAAAAACCACACAAACTCAGAAACGCACCCCTTCCCATTCACTGAAATGCACCCCTCCCCATTCACTGAAAGGCTGGTGCAATCAATGCTAAGCTTTAACAAATGAGAAGACACACCTTCCAGTAGGATGGTTGTGAGCTCCCGATGAATTTTGCAACTAAAATTTATCTAATTAGAATGCCACGCCCTTCCCGCCCCTCCCAGCTCTGAATGTGGTGTGTTCATATCCTACTGACTGGTCACTGACTAATTTCTATCAATTATCACCTTCTCCTTTCACTGTGCAACTTTAGATTTTAGATAAAAATGAGAGTCTGCATGAATTAGCCGGGAATGTGCAGTATATATTCAAAGGTGTTAAAATCGTTTGTGTCTTGTTGGTAGTTACACCGCGAGTTTCCTCCTGTTGCTTGTGTCTTCTGTGATTCCCTGAGTGACAGGGGACTCAGGAGTTTGTGTCCGTGTTTCTTGTTTGATGTGGGACCATGCGGCTTGATTTTTCTCCTTCTTCCCAAGGTCTGGGTTGCAATTTTTTATGAAAACCCTCGGGTCATCTTAAACATGACCAAAAGCACCTTGCAAGCTGAACCTTATCTAATTATGGGATGCCTGTGAACTTGGGAGACACATAAATCACAGTCACCAAAGCAATTTGTTTGTCTAAGGTGCTTCGGTCCAGTGAAAGACGAAAAGCAAATAAGGGAGAGGTTGATCTGGGAGCATTGTTATTGTCGGTGCTCCACACACCATAAAGTTTGAGCTCGCTGGGGGAGACTCCATAAACAAGTTTAGCTAATAAGAATGAAGTAACTGTGTGTGCGCGCGCCTTCCTGAGCACCCACCAGAGTCCCTCTCCACTTGTCATTGTGGATGATGACAAAGAAGAAAATGCTAGCAGGCCAGGCCAGAGGGTGAGGGGTGGACTTCAGTGGCTGTTGTGTAGATGGAGGCTTCAGGCTTCACGGATCAATGGAGCAGCCAGCTCTCTATGGCCGCGGGTCTCTACAATACTATTTCTACAGAAAACCCAGCATGTGTGGATGCTCATACATCTGTTCCTTTCAGAGAGGTCCCTGAGTGGCCACTGCGGCTGATCTCTTGCATTTTAGGCTAGTGAAAGCCATGCAAGGGGATCCTTCATCCAGATGGGGTTTTGATAGTATTGACATGATCTGAGAACGTGACAGATGAAGCCAGCATTGAGAAAATCGTGCTGGGAAAATTGTGGGTAGCTCATTTTCTTTTCCGTCCTCAGACGGTCTGGAATAACTTTATTATCATTGTCCTTATCTGTGACCTTAATAGCTGATGGCGCTGGTCTGTTTATTTTAGGTTGAGATAGGCTTGGGGTGGGAATCATGAAGAGTGGGGAGGAAAAAGAGGGGAAGGGAGCAAAGCCTTATTAATTAATTTTTATGATGAGGCTTTGCAGCATTATTGAATTTTTCCACATTACGGAAAGTGGTCCTCAGTGTCCGTGTGATGTTTATACAGATGAGATCATGGAAAGCGAGTCAGGTGTGTTAAAGGACTGTAGGAACCTGTGTTCTCTGTACTCACCTCCTGCGGGGTGCTCGTGGCAGGGGAGAAGGTGTGGGCTAAAAATGGAGGCAGGGAAATACAGGAGGGCCTCATGTGCTTGAGAATCAACACCACTTATTAGCTAGGTTTTTTGTTGTTGTTGTTTTGTTTTGTTTTGCTTTGTTTTGTTGTTGTTTTGGTTTTTTGAGACAGGGCTTCTCTGTATAGCTTTGGAGCCTGTCCTGGAACTAGCTCTTGTAGACCAGGCTGTCCTCGAACTCACAGAGATCCACCTGCCTCTGCCTCCCCAGTGCTGGGATTAAAGGCCTGCGCCCCTACTGCCTGGCGTATTAGCTGGTTTTTAAGTAAGCTACTTATCTTATACTAGTCCAGACTCTGTCTTTAAGCCATCTTCTTTGTGTTGTCCTGAAAGCGAATGCCTTACAAGCGCGTGTCTATGTTGGGTTTTCAATTTGATTCTCTGTAGCCATAATTAGAAAAAAGCCGCCAACCAATTGTTTTGTTTTGTTTGGTGGCATTTGAACATATACATTTCCATCTGGTTGACTGAATAAAAGACACCTACCCCCCCTCCCAAACACGCACACATACACACACACACACACACACACACTCAAATTCCAAAGTAAGTGACTGAAAATCCAGGTTCCGGGGAGCTGTACACTTAGGAGTAATTGTCTTAAAAGGACAATTATGTGGTAGAAGAAGCTGGAATTCTTCCTTTCAAAGGTGCCACTACTGCTTTGTAAGGGGGCTACGGTAAGATTGATCAGGATAACGCCTCTAATGGCTGCTGCCTTCCAGAGAGATGCCAGTAAACTTTCATTGTACTGCACTTGATCACACTAGTTTTTAAAGCAGCGTCCTTTAGAGGCTCCTTGACACATAACCAGAATTGCCAGTGAGCCTTAAAGAGAAGCTATGATACTGGGTATGTGGCCGAGTTGCTAGAATGCTTACCCAGTAAGCAGAAAGCTCTGGGTTTGATCCCCAGCCATCGGGAGGTCGAGGCAGAAGGGGAAGGCATTTAAGGCCACTCTCAGCTACAAAGAAAGCTTGGCTGGGGGTTACATGAGACCATGAGACCCTGTCAGTTCATGTTTTGGGTTGTTTTGCCCTGCATTTCAAGATGATGAACAATACCCCCCTCACCACACACACATACACACACACACACACACACACACACACACCCCTTTTCTGCCATCCAGGGAATGCTTGCCCATTTTGCTTTGATGTTCCTGCAGCAGTTCATGTTTGTTTGTTTTTTTTCTTTTTCCTCCTTCCCCATAGCTTGCAAAATTGGATATTACAAAGCTCTCTCCACGGATGCCACCTGTGCCAAGTGTCCACCCCACAGCTACTCCGTCTGGGAAGGAGCCACCTCGTGCACCTGTGACCGAGGCTTCTTTAGAGCCGACAATGATGCTGCGTCTATGCCCTGCACCCGTAAGTGCTTTGCTTGTCTCCTGTCTCCTGCAATGCCAGCGGCTTTCATTACCACCTAGCAGGGTGCTGCCAGGACTTCTCCCAGGATAACCTTGCAGGGGGCAAATTAGATAGCTAGCGCGCATCCCCTTCCTATCATAGCACGCATCCCCTTCCTATCATAGCAGGAAGCGTGCTTAGGAAAAGAAAGGCTCTTCCCCCCCCCCCCCCTCGGGTTGCCTTCACAATGCACAGCTGCCAACAGACTACTTTGTGGAGCAAAGATTGAGTGTTCAGGTTGTCTGACAGTGTAATTACAGCGGGGAATGAAATTTATAAATGGCTTTACCATTGCGTCGAGGGCTGGGGGAGACTTGACAACCACAGGAGGAAGAGGTAGCGGACCAGGATTTGGGAATGTGTTTCAGTCCTTGTATGAGGCCGTTCAGAGTGCTCTGAGGTCATCGCTTAGGTTTTCATTTTACCTCCTGCTGCTTTCCTCGTAGTTCTGTGTTCGGAACACTTAGGCCAGGGCCCTAATAAATGCTGATTTCGTATGAGGCACTTAATAAATGCTGGGCTAATGAATAGATGGTGTTGGCAAGCCCGGTGTAAAGCTGGACAGGGAAATCTCTTCTCACACTTTATTTGGACAAGGTTCCCAAGGTGTTGCCACAGACCTTGCCTTGGCTGTGACCTTGAGCAAGGCAGAAATGATAGGACACCTCCCCCGCCCCTCCCCGACATTTCAGTCATATTTCGCACTAGTACAGCCTTTCAGCGCACAGCCTGGTAATGTGGCGTACAGGACTTGCAGTTTAAAGTTTGTTTCTCAACTTTGGTTTACTGGCAGAGTGGCTGCTGAGCCTCTGACGTCTTAATTTTCCCCTCTGTTGATTGGCACTAATCATAGCACATGTTATATATCTTCATTCAGAAAAGCTCCACATTTAAGGAGTTGGGGGAGTCTTGTGATGTTTGCATATACACAGAGTTACTGTTTTGGAATGAGTCCCAAGACTAAATACAAAACTCATTTATATTCATACGTGTTGTCCTCATAGCTTGATGGCAACTCCACACACAGTGTGTCTCTGTTTTCACGGAAGCCTCTCACACGAGGTCAGCTGTGGAATTTGTCCCCTTATCACGTCTCTCTGCTAAAAAACGCACCAGGTTCTAGAGTGCTTTGGAATTTGTGGGTTAGAAACGCTCCCTCTCTACCTCCCTCAGGTCTGTTGTTATTAGACATTCTCACGTTGGTTGTGTGTCGGTCATGTGTGAAAACAATTTTACTCTTTAGGCTTTACTATTATTGTTATGACTGTTATTATTTTGATCTTTTTAACTGCTGTAAATTACAGATGGAGCAGCCTGGGCCGGCGTCACTGGATATAGATGCCACTCTTGGCTTTTGATCCACCGAAACTTCAGGGAGTTTATTCTGTAGCATGATCGGGAACCACCCTTAGTAGGAAAAGGGAGAGAGGTTTCAGGTCCACCCCTCTCAATGGACTTTTATGACAGAAGGACTCTCTCCTCTATTTCTGAAAAAAGACATCATGACTGTAGATAGATGCTTGTCTCCTGCCCACCAGTTCCAAATAACCAACCCAGAGACGTATATTAATTATAAATGTTTCGATGGTGGCTCGGGTTTCTTACTGGCTAGCTCTACACATAACTTAACCCATCTCTAATAATCTGTATGTTGCCCCATGCCCCGTGGCTTACTGGTAGTGCTCTGCCATCTTACTCTTCTGAAGGCTGCTGGTGTCTCCCCAACTCTTGTCTCTTTGCTAGGATTTTTAACCTAGCTATAATTTTCTCTGCCACAGGCCAAAGACACTTCTTTATTAACCGATGATAATAAAACATATTTACACTATACAGAGGGGCATCCCACATCATATGTCCACGACAGCTCTTATAAAGGAAAGCATTTAATTTTGGAGTGGAGGCTCCCTTACAGGTTCAGAGGTTTAATCCATTACCATCATGGTGGGAAGCAAGGCAACAGGCAGGCAGGCATGGTGCTAGAGAAGGAGCTGAGCGTTCTTACATCTTGACTCACAGGCAACAGGAAGTGATCTGTCTCACCGGGCATGGCTTGAATATATATGAGACCTCAAAGCTAGCCTCCACAGTGACATACTTCCTCCAACAAGGCCATACCTCTCAGTGGCCTCCCTTTGGGGACCATTTTCTTTCAAATCACCACAAGAGCCCGACTGTTGGAGTGATGGAAGCATTAGACTGAGGTGATGTGCCCAGCACATTGGATGATAAACTTGCTCACCTACTTACATTGTAGAAACAGTTAATTAAGGTAGGTCTTCTTGATTCTAAACCAGGTAGCTGCCAGCACTCAGATGCCCCTGGCCAGCACAGAGATGGAGCTGTACATCCCGAAAACTCATAGTATAACCTCTTGGAAGGTTCTAGAACCTGGTCTCCCAGATCCAGCATGGAACTTCCAGGATTAAGGAGTGCAAAGGCTAACCTTACGGTTTCCATAAAAGCAAGGACGTTTCTTTTACCACCCTCTTTTTTTTTCCCTTCCTAGACTAAGTTCTTTCCCTGTCTGGTTCTCCCTTCCCCACAACACACACTCTTTTCTTATTTTATATTTTAACCTGATTGAATCCTGAGTTTTTCAGAATTTTTCTTCTATGTTAAGCTCTTAAGAATGAGTTCCCTGCCCCCCATCTCCGCTCACTACCAAACAACAACATAAGTGCTGGAAACTGGGGGCACAAGAGCAAGTTAAAGAGGAAGTATTTTGGGCTGATGTTTACATAATGACCCTTTATTCGTAAGAGGGACCCCACCTACTCCGCCACACAGAGACTCTTGCCTTCTGGGTAAGGTTTCCCTGGACTGTGAATGTCAGGAAACAGCATGGGTGCTTTTTCTTTTCCTGATTCTGATGTGTTATCTAGCTTTCTAGAAGTCATGTGCCAATGTAGTGACTGCAGCTTGGCGCTTGGGAGTGTAGACCTCCTCCAGAGATTGCCTTGTGTGTGCTGGATTGGGCTATTTGCTATCAGCATCACGCCTATGTGAAAGTTTATAGTTTGGGAGAAATAAATTGTCAGCTTTATTCCAAAGAAGTCAATGAAAAACAAACTGGTTTTTAAACTCATGCTTTGAAACCCAATTTTTAAAAATTTGATAAGACTTCCCTGTTTTTCTCCCCCCTAAGTTCGTGTTCTCCAAGATTAAGGAGCAAGGGTGGTGAGCATTTTGAGTTGTGAGTAAAGGTCGGAGGGGTTCCTTTCTCCCTACCTTGAATTCCTCCCTCTCCTCTGTGCTCTGAGGTCATGTGCTTGGTGCTTGTGGCCACCACTGTAGCCTGAGGATGCTCCCAGGGCTTCTATGACGCGTTCACAGACTTCGCAGCCAGCTAGAACTCCCTCACACCAAGTTTGTGACTAAGAGTGTTTAATGTCTCCATGTCCCCTCTCTGAAGTGAATTCTCAGTATCTGCGCCTATGGCTGCTTTTAAAAGTAATTAAGACAATATTTGTGAAAGACTGACTCATGGTGGGAACCTGAGAATTCTTTGTCTTTTTTTTTTTTAAATCTTTATTTGGTCACGTAAGTCCTTGGCCAGCCCCTCTCAGGAGGGGGCACTACTCTTCACAAATGTCAGTGACTTGTGCCCCGACAACACAATTAAATTATTCAGTGGCTACACTGCACCCCAGGTAGGTCTGAAGAATCTGACTTTAATCCTGTTGTACAGCGAGGATGAATATCACATCTCTATAGAGTTAATATTTTTTTTAAACTTTATTTATTATGTAAACCTTGGGAGCCCTCCTTCAAGAGAGGGACCCCTCGGGGGTCTGTATTATTAGATGAGCCATTCTGTGGAAAGTAGTGGAGTGGCAACTTATTGTTTGATCTGCAGTCAGTAGGAGCATGGGAAGTCGTGAGCTTTCAGCTTTCCATTCATTCGCCCTCCTGTCCTCCACATTACTAGAGCCCAGCAGCCACACGGGGCTGCTCCAGCCACTGTTAGATACCAGCATGGACATAGAGGTTTCTCACTTTGCAGAAAGTTCCAGTCTACAGCCATCGAGTAGATGGTTCAGTATAGGAAACAGTGGGAGTTCCTCCAAGAAGCCCTTGTTCAGATAACCCACAGGACAATGCCTCCCCATTCCTAGCTTTATCGGATTCTCTTGGGGGAGCTGTGGGGATGGAAGGGAACATAAACATCAGGGGACCCTTTCAAACGAATTCCAGCCCCTAATCAGTTCTTCCCAGTTGGTTAAGCCAGGTGACAAACCCAATTCCCCAGTGCTGACAGCCATGATAATCAGGCACCTTCTTTGTTCATTATGCTGTCTTTAACCCCAGCATTCTCATGTATCCCCGCATTTAGGGATCGCTCACTGTGACGGCACACTAATGAAGAAATAAAACACACTCTCCGAGACGCATTCTTCCAGCCAAAGTGAGACTCTGCTCCAGTGGCTTGTAAAATCAGGTTTTTGTTCACCTGGGGGACAATTAGACCAGGTAAAGACAAATCGCACCAACTATTTCAGAAGAAGACACCTAGAAGTTTGTGCTGTCCCTGCCACTGGGGAAAAAAAAATGAGGAGAATTAATAATAATACACTTTGGTTTGGGAGGACTTTTGAGGGAACCTCTGGTTACCCTAAAGTGAGTAGATATGGTTCAGACAGACTGAGATGTAACAATCTGAATATTTAAGAAGTTTTCCATATCTGTTTCAAAGAAGGGAGCCTAGTGCTAAAGGTTGATACTAGTATATTATTATTATTATTATTATCATTATCATTATTATCATTATTATTGTTATTCCTCTTTCCCACTTCTGGGGATTGAACCCTGGCCCATGCATATGCTAAACAAGAGCTCTACAGTTGAGCCAGCCAGCCAGCTCTTTTTAGAAACAGGATTTTGTGAAATTATGTGGACTAGCCTCCAACTCATGATCCCCTTACTTGATGCCCCCACCTTCAACAATTTAAGGTCATAGGTGA